CGAACGTCCCGAGCCCACCAGGGCCAATGCCATTCCAGGATGACGGTATCCGATTGGGAGACCATTGTCCATTCACACGTGATTATTGATCCTCGAAGAACTCAGCGCAGTGCTGATTCGCTCATCCACGTTTTCACAGATTCCGAACGACACGTATGAGCGCTACTGCCAGGACGCGCCGCCAATGAGCAAGCAGGACGGCCGCACACCCTAGGACCTAGCCTGTACCTCTGACCAAGCCACTCCGAAGCACAGCGTGCAGGCGCGCTGTGCATCTACAAGCAGCGGGCGCAAATAGCATGTGCCGAACAAACTCCTCGGATTCAGCTCAGGCTGGACCACTGGCAGGCGGCGGCTACATGCTGCTATGCACCGATGCACTTCCACAATCACCACGCGCCATCCCGTCCTGCCAACCTCGCGCAATCAATCCCCATCTAGGTGATCCGTGTCCGGATGCGTCAATCCGCTCTCGCGTTTGCAATGCGGCGAGGCGTACGGACGACCACGCACCGCACGCTCTCCGGACAGTGTTGGCATTCCGGCCTGCAACGACACGCGTCGTGGTGCCTGTCTATCTTTGCCATGTGCGCGAAGCCCGAGCTTAGGCAGGATGTGGAAGTTGGCAATGGCTTGGCCGCGTCCTTCTTGCGATCGGTGGTGCAGTGACGTCGGCAGTCGCCCACACTATTCCTGGAGCGCGCTTCTGTACACGTCTTGGCCTGCGATGTTCACACTTCGTCTTCGCAGGCCCGCCGCGACACGACGATAAGCAACGAGACTCTGGATGCGCCCTGCGCAGCGCACAACGAGGCTGGGCAAATCCCACCGCGTCTCACACGCATGGCGAACGAAGGACAGAATCGGGAAGCTAGAAGTCCGAAGCATGAAGCATGAATACGAAGCAATTCGGGAGGACGTAAGGACGCTGCCAGCATCTGGCCCAGCTTGGGACATCGGTAATAGCGTGTCGCTCGGACGTGTTTCATTCCATAACATGGCGGATCCCGACGGTGACGTCGTCATTTTTTTTTAGCTATTAGCAAGCTGACTTTCCGCTAGCACCAGCAATGGTTACAGCTGCGAACTGGAGCCTAAAGTGTCTTTGTCAAGCTCATGTCGATGCAGCCATCCGATCTCGAACTCGGCGCTCTCACCTTATCTGCGACAACGCGTCCGCTATTAACGCGTCGCGATCAGGGTGGGATCCCGGTCTTCTCCAATGCCCTAGTGTTTGTCCAGATCCAGAGCCGGTCATCTATGCACGCGTAACGCGATCGGCACACGCGCGCGATATCATAGGGTGGCAGACGCTGTCAAACGCTGCGTGCGGCACCATGCATGGGGCCGCGGAGTCGTCGGGGCGGGCTGCAACAGATGCGCGTACGGCACCTGAATTCGTACGCGACACATGGCTGCCGGCAAATAGCAGACATCGTATCTGCGGTGGGTCGAGTCTGATAGTAGTATCGCATTTCGTTGTGGACGCGGGCGATCGCGAGCTCTCCGGGACGCTTACGATTACTCGCCTTTGCCTGAAATCTAGAGTTTGGATCTAGGGCATACGTCGGCACCCGGATTCGGTGACGATGTCGGGACATTGAACGTTGGCCCGCTTCGGTGCTTCGCTTGCTTTCATATCGCGCGATCGTATCTCGTGTCCCTGGACGAGGACAGCGATGGTCAGTCGAACCAGTTCGCGATGAAGTGCGTTCAGAATGTTTATCCTCATATTCTTGCGAGAGCGGCTTCATCGTCACATCGTACAATACTATGTAGATTCTTGTTTCACTCTTCTGTATACTAGATATCGCCATGAGCGTCATGAGTAACAGCCCCGCCCTGGGATTGTATGATTCAAGTACCTTATTGCAGCTTCACCCACTCATACCCATCTTTATCCAATAGTAGCCAATCTGTCTCCTTCCATTTCCCGCTCCCGCCACCATGGGGTCCTCTAGCCTCGGACTTCGCCTTCAACTTCGGGAAGTTATCGCGGAATCCTAGATCTGCCGAGGTGCACGTCATGAAGCCCGGGAAGCGCACGGCGATTTCTTTGACGTGGTCGAACGCCGGGCTGGACAGTATGGCGTCGGCATCAGGCTGAATGGACTTGCGTTCACGATGCTGTTCTACAGTCTCGGGAGGGGCTTCCTCAGGGTTGGTGTAGAGCTCGTCTTGCCATTCATGCTCGTCTAACTCGATGGAAAACTCGATGTGAGTGATGGAGCGGGTTGTCGGGGAGGAGGGATGAGAGGCAAGGAGGCTGAGTGGAGGAGCGATCGCGGCATGTCTGTATTGGCAGAAACGTGCCAGTAATCTGAAATGGCAAAGATATCTCAAAGGCGAGATATCGAGGGTTTCTAGTGGACTGTTAGCATGACAATGGATCAATGTCGCGCAAGGGGCATACCAAAGACGTCTTCAGAGAACTGTGAAATAAGCAGACTGATGGAAGTCAAAGACTCTCGGTAGGCATACAACAATGTGTTGAAGGACTGGACCATGGCCAAATCCGTGAAGTCTTGAGAAACCATGGATAGCTGCTTGATGGACTGGGGTGGAGAGGGAAGGGCCAGTAGCCATTGGATAAACATATTCGAGGCAGGTGGGAGAATGAACAGGTTGAGCGAGGACAGATACCGAAGGCCACCACTACTTGTTTCTGGGATCTCGCTGTCCAAGCTACTCGCAAAAACGACAATTCCCTCGAGGGAAAGACTTGTGATCATGGGGAAGGCCAGGATTGCTTGTGTGAAGGCTCCGAAGGTCCTGAATGCAGAAGAAATACGGAGATGGGTTACGTTATTCCTGGTCACGGATGCCAGATTAAAAGCGGAAAACCCAGAGAGACCTGTTTGTGAGCCCAGGAGCTCGAAAGTACACATGCGCGGAAGTAAAGGGCCTAACTCAAGGAGCGCAGAGTCGAAGAGGTGGCCGTCGCGCAGAATCAACTTCCGAACGTGTCTCCCGATGCCAAGTTCGGCACCCTCGCGCAGGACGCTAGATTTGAGGATATCGTAGAATTTTTTGTACCGAGTACCAGTGAGAGCAACGGTGCGGAAAATGTGTGACTGGCAGGGAGAGACAAACGCATACGCGGTGAGAGCGAAGTTGGTGAGAAGTTTCGAGATGCTTTGTCGATCTGGACAGTCTCCACGATCTTTATAAGAGATCACACCTGCGTCTATAATTGCTGTGATCACCGAGAATGGTAGGCGGTATCCGCCCGCAAATCTTGTCACAGGTGCGGGATTGGGTGCGCCAACCACTAATAAATACCATTATCTGTAAGATCCAGAAGCTCAAAATGTGTAGATGAAGCTCACTAATGATGGGAAGTTATCTTATGCTATATCTCTCTCCTGAAGAGACCAATCAGTCCAGACACGATCTGCAACTTGGGGAGAAGTCGAGACAAGTCGATGTTGCACGCGGAGAGTGCAGGGCCTATGACAGTTGAATTCGACATTGAGAGGACTAGACTTGTCAGCGCTGCATAGAGAATTTGAATCAGCTCTCAGCGTTACCTAAATCCGTCCAGGCGACTTCGTATGTTGCCGTATACCAGAGTCGAGTGGTATCCACATGAAGGTGCCCGAAACTATTAAGACGTGACAGAGCGCACACGCTGCATCACGACCACGTGCTACGTTACTCTGTGACAATTTCGCAATTAATGAGTCGCGCATCTGCCGCTGTGCCTTTGTTCTGTACACTCTAGTAGTTCTGCACCCCGCAGAAGTGTTTCAGGTAGTTTCCCTTCCATCTTCGATATCGACTACTACTAAACATTGTCAAAAATGCTCAGTGAATTGCTCCTTTCACTTGGTGTCTTCTTCGTCTTGCTCTATCTGTCCTATAGCTACTGCAAGAGAGCCGCAATCATGGCGTCGCGTGTTTTACTCATCAGCGCATTCATCTATGGATACAACGAGATCCGTCTTGAAGCCGATCTTGCCCTTCCAGTGCCTGCTGAAGTGTCGATGACAGACGAGACGGCACACAAGTATCAACTCGCTCGTGTCATCGCCGATCTGAAGCATAGCTACCCGATGACTTGCGAATATTGCGGTGTGTATCTCGTTTGTTCCTCATTAATGGTCATGAAGGGCTAATATTAGATGTTGCTCATAGGCAAACCCGCCATGGAAAACCATTTGAACTTCGCATCGTGGAGCCATCTTCCCCCGAAGGGCCAGATGTGGATGGGGAGACCAAGCCCAGGACCTATGGGTAATGCCTATGTGAGCACAACTCATTGCTATAGGTACATTTTCGCAAACATGGTTCTTTCTACCATGATACAGATCCATGCAGTCTGCAGCATGTCCGGGGACTGCGGCAAAATGGCTCAAGGCATGGGGAACTGGTTGGGCGGTCTTGCGATTGCTACGGGAACACCGCCCGAGCGCACGAAAATCCAAATGGAAGACATGGAGCCAATCAGGTTCCCGAAGAACGGTTCTTGCGCATATTGCCAGACGGACGAAAGTATTGAGAAGCCGAAGAGTCGGTGCTCGAAATGCAAGGCGACTCAGTATTGCGGCCCCGCCTGTCAAAAGGTCAGTATTCATTTTTGTGTAAAACTTGCATCTCTCATTGCTGCCCTGCAGAGCGACTGGTCTCGTCACAAGGTCACTTGCAAATGGATCAGAGGTATACGCTTCGTTGATGAGGTTCGTAGCTCGTCGGTCGACACAACTTGGTAGTCTTGATGACCAGATCGCCTTCCAGCATGGAGAGATGACCGTCTGGAAGGAAAATCCCGACCCGATAGTCAGGAACTAGAAGCGCGGATTCGCTGAAGGTATAAGTAACACTACCATACTGACTGTAACATTTAAATCTTGTTAGCTTGAAGCAATGTGACATACATGTATACACACAGTTTTAGTGGAGTGCTTCTGAATAGGTCGGCAGCCCCGAAAATGTTCCATGAACACCCGCCTGCGGAGATGCAAAACAACACAAACCAAAAGAGAATGAAGGGACACATGTGCCAGGACCGTGGATTGAACACGGGACCTCCAGAAATCAGTTCAAGGCGAACGGCTTCAGTCTGTTGCTCTCCCAGCTGAGCTATCCCGGCAACGAAATATCGTAACAAAGAAAAAACATGATGAGCATGATGCAAGTAAGCAATACAACGCCATTGATTCCATATATTTCAACTTGAAGATCACGACCGAATCGACTCCAGAGGCCCTGAGAAAAGCTAGAGAATAAAAACTACCCAGCCGTGCTATCACAGTGTTCACCGGGACACTATCCTCTCAACATTGAAAGCCACATAGGACTTGTATTCGCCAATGATGTGTTCGGGCGTCGGAAAGAGATGCGAAGTTCCAACAGAGAGGTGAATAAGCACTGTTGTCGCCGATCGTCTACTAGCTGCGCTGTAACGCATCTTGACCCTTGGACAAAGCACCAGGGTTGGGGCGCGTACGCTGTTTGCCTTGTGAGACGTATGCGCGTGAAATCACGCAGTTGATCTGGCTGGCGGCTCGTCAGTCATACACAACCGAGGTGAGTGGAGCGGGAATTGCAGCACACACCCTGCTGTGGACGTAGCGCGCGATTGCACGGGTCTCTAGCCAAGCCGCTACCTGTCGGGTTTCCAAACTCATTCATCGGCTGACACATGGATCAAGACTGGCGCAACAACATCAAGCGTTTCGATGACAAAGACGCGCATCGCGGATAGGCTGGCCGTTGTGAGGATTGCTAGCGGGACGCGTCGGTCTTCCGCTGCACAGACGACCTTACAGCATTCCTTGAAGATGAGCTGTTGAGACTAGAGATGTACTCGTACCCGAGGTATTGCTACGAAAATTCTGGTGGCTAGCGTGGTCCGTTCGTCGCTGCGGTTGCGAACTATTGAACCACGCTTGCTACTGCGATATCATAACTGAAAGGCTCAGTCAGGATAAGTAGCGCAAAAGGACATGCCAGGACCGTGGATTGAACACGGGACCTCCAGAAAGCAATTCGCTTCAGTCTGTTGCTCTCCCAGCTGAGCTATCCCGGCGTTGTAAGACTTTCGTCAGTGGCATTGGCAATATGGTGAGATGAACTGGCATTTACCGCAATACATCCAGAATCCTGCCAAAACGTCGACGGCGAATAAAAACGAGCCACAGGTGCATGAAACTGAGACATGATAAGGTCAGGCGTCGTACGTGACTACAAGAAATGACTAGACTTGATAAACTGACCTAATGGCATCGTTCTTGTGTTCAATAGATTCGTTGACCAACCGACGGACCTTGTGTACAATTGCATGCATTTCGAGCTGTAAGGAGGATGGCCCCAGCCGCGGGTGAAGCAGTTTAAAGATGCAACCAGTCTAATGTAGCTGATGGCCTTCGCAAGGAAGACTGGAAGCGGACCATCGATACGTATTCCGCGAAGACTTTGGCTGTCCGTACATCTTACGGACGACAAAGTGAGGGCAGTGATGCAGCGAGAGTTTGAGGCGGGAACCCCGGCGATTTCGGACAGTTAAAGCCAGCGTGCCCGGGACAAAACAAGATCTGAGCTCGAGATATTGGAAGGGTCGAAACGATTGAAAGCGAGAGTGCAACATCGCAGAGAACAGGAGCGCCAAGGTCGCGAGTCCCCGTACGATAGAAACGAAACACAGCACCGTGGAATATAGTACTGTGGTCAGGTTGATACGGATCATAGATTCTTGTTATGAGCAGAAAATGCAAAATGCTCTCGATTTGCAGACACTTTGGATGGACCTAAGTGTTGTTCATACCGCGCATGGGCCTGATCCATGCGCCCGTTAAAGGACAGGTTGAAGGCTGCAGGCAAATCGGGACGGGCACTTTTCGCGAGAGGCAAAGACTTATCCCAGCCAATAGACAAGCAACCTACGGTGCCAATATCGACGCTCGGCTACGAAATTTCATAACGTAGCTGAAAGTGTTGGTAGCAATGGATCATTATCTTTTCAACGAAGTCGAGGAACGTACTTGTGTTTCAGCATTCTCTGCGGACTTATCAATTCTCCACTGAATGAGTTTGTCCAGCCAGCCTCGCATCTATGATATATCGTCGGGTATACGTACGCCAGTAATACAGTTTTGCAGGTATATTTAACTGGGAACGCCTTGCCAATGATACAATACAGCCCCCTGCATCGGTTATCAATGGGGGATTCGAGGGATAGACGAATGACATTACCGAGCTATTATCCTTCGTGACGATTTTTCTGTTCACAAGTGCTATTAGGCATTTGTTCACGCGCGCCTGGTTCAAATCTGGTGCTTTGATAAGTTCCACAACTGCCCGCTCCTCGTCAGTAACGTCAAAGTCTTTCCGTAAGAGCAAGCCCACGTTTTACACCGCGGCCTCCGCTGTCCATGAGTCCTTCTATCACCATCTCTATGTTGCGACGGAGTCCCTAAAAGAAGTCCAACGGAGTATGCTTGCGAAACTCTTAACGATGACTTACAGGATCGCTGCCACGAAACTCTAACGGGAGACATGACACCGTCTTGTCGACCGCAGCCTGATAGGTAGAGTGTCAAGAGTGATGCAGATGAGCACGATGTCGTTAATGAAGCTTACACTTCGCTCCTTCTTCTCTTTCGCGGTCATCTTTGGCTTGCCCTTCTTTTTCACTACCTTCGTCCCCGTAGTCTTCACGGATGCATCGGCAATGGTGTTGTCCGCGTAGGTGGTATCATCCAGAGCATTATCAGCGGTCTTCTCCAACGTAGACGGTTCGGGGTTGGTATGCGATTGCATAGCGGCGAGTGCGGCACGGGCATCCTCCTCTACAAGACGTTGGCGCATTTCAGATTGGTACAACATGTTATTACTGGAGATCAAGCGTACCTGCTCTTCGCCTTGCAAGAATAAAAGACGCGTCCGTGGGAGCCTACATCATCTGCTAAGAAACCTCGGTCTTGCCTCCCCAATAGATCACACATACCTGCGGCCAATCCACCGTCAGCGCATTCATATTCATGACGTACAACCAGCTCGCAAACGATTCGTTGAATGTCTGCAGCGAGTCTCCGAGCGCACGCAGGCCTTCGACGTTCGAGAGCAACGCATCTGCCTCGTCCGCGAGCTCCGCCATCGCGGGTTCGAGGAAGCCGAGGCCGTGCGGTGCTTCGGGGTGTGTTCCGGAGCGAGAGAGTGCAAATAATGACCCCTGTGAGACTCTGCGGAGGGGTGTACGGTGCGGTGTCGGTCCTGGCATCGTCGTGGACGGTGTTCAACGAAGAGTTGAGTTCCCCGCTGCCTCAGGGCACGCGGTCACCTGATTGGATTGCTCTGATCACGTGTATCAATTAAATCATTTAACGCGTTCGCGTTCATTCGCCATTACTTTTTCTCTCGAACCCTGCACGGCATGTGCAGACTCTGAGAACACCCGCTGCGTCTGAATGAACTTTACCCGGAGACAGATAGCCTGTCAGTCACCGCCGATGACGAGGCCCTCATCTCGAGCTCCGGACGAATGATTCGTCAATTCAGCCACTGCATTGATTCTAAAGCCTAGGATCACATTCACGAGAGCTAAGGATACCCCACTGACACACGAGTCCAATCCTTCTGATGCGCGAACTAATTTTTGGACGTATTCCCAGTGCCACTTACCAATACTTGGGATCTCGCACACAGACCCAGGAGCTTCCATCGAAATGCATGCTTCTCGGCAGATCGCGTCGCACGGCGTCGAGATGCAGAAGATGCAGGAACTGGAATACGAGGGACAGTTGTTTCCTGTGACATCGGCGCAGTGATCTAACTAGAAAATCTTGAGATCAGCGGTGAGTAATGAGTCTAGGGCAACGCCGAGCCTACTTACCGCGAGACACCCAAGGACACGAGAAGCCGTTGACAGTCTAGCGAAACCTTACTCCAGCCCGCCCTCTCCGCCGATCAGCAGATGTGATATCCTCGTGGTGTATCGGTGTAGCGCTTACGGAGGCTGGGAGTCACATCTTGTACGACGCAGAACAGCTGTAGAGTGATGATGACGCGGAATGTTATGTCGGCTAGAGTATACCTGTCCTACGCAGGCATGCATCCTTGCTATGATTGCGAAGCGCATTGCAGCCCGAGAACAGCGAGCAACACAAGGCAAGGCGGTGGTCAATGACAGGCAGAGCCGCACAGAGACAGGAGATCTGCATTACCTCAAGGCACGCGCAAGGCGCATGATTATCACCCATCTGCCCTCAGAAAATCCCAACAAGGTTCGCGAAGACCCACGGCGCAGTCCCAGGACAGCCCTGCACATACGCATCACAACGCAGCCGCGCGATCAGATGCACAGAGCACAACGCACCAGGAGCACACATTCCACATGAGTCCGAAATGCAAATGCCCGGGCGTCAGATGGTATACGTATCAATCTGATGCCAGACCCAAGACAAGGCAGCCGTGCGAGCCTCATGCCAGGCACTGCCGACGCACCGCCAGCGCCGAGCACGCAAGCAGAAAATAGCCCCGGGCACAGGACGGTGCACGGCGCGAAGGCGGTGGAGCGGATTCGAGAGAGGAATTTCTGTTGGAAATGTGGACGGGTGTGAGCCGCGTGTTCCAAATCTTCGGCTGATGGCAACACAATTGTGAGCTGACGACTCTCGCGTACGTGCACTGCAGATTCGAGGTGGAGAGCCGAGATAACAATAGAAGCCCTGGGTAGGTCATGGGCCTTGACAGCGGGTAAAATCTACAGCAGAGGTGTCTAAAAAAATGAACTCGCGCACAGGCTGGTGTATACTAAGTCACTGGGAACGCTCACTTTAAGATTTAGTTTGCGCCTACACCACCTACGTAGACGGCGAATGGCTGTCGATCACAGTTTGCGTTTGCATAGTCTCGGTATATCGGAGTGGCCGCAAGGTCCTCGGAAAGTAGCAGGCTAGCAATCTAAGATGAACATCAGCGACACAGTACCTTCGCGGGTCCAATAGGAATAAGGTCCATCGGATATTGGAATCCATCCACCTGCTCCCCGCCATATCGTAACGGCGCCTGTGGTCGTCGGCGGAACACATGTTTCGATTAGCGGCCGCGCTAGGCCGCAGATGACCGACGAATGCAAGGCATATTTTGCCCTATCGATATCGAGAAACGTGCTTCCCGTCGCAGAATACCCCACACGGGCGCTGAAAATGCACGTATGACGCACACAATGCGAGCATGTGTTCCCCAGAGTCTTTTCGTGTACCTGTAAGAGAGGTGAAGCCCCAGCATCCGAAAGAGAAGGAAAGATATGTACGCTTCTAGCTCGCGCTTACGAGACAGGGCGTAGCAAAAATGCACATGGGTGCGCCCGTACCTGTTCGTGACGGTATAATGAAGGTGAGAAAGCCGCGCAGACGCCAGATTCTATGATCGCCTGTAAAGCCCTAGCACCGAGGAGCGCAGGGAGAGCGTCGATCGTCGATGCAGAACCAGAACTCCACGGAAAAGATTGGCCAGGGAATTCGAGACGCTAAGCAGCATCGGGCGAGTCTCTCCCCGCCCAACGCGCGATCGCTGAATCGCCGGTCGTGATAACCATCACCACGGACCCCCGGGAGAAGAGAAGAGAGCCTACGGCCAGGATGGAACAGCCAACACCTCTGGTTCTCGGGGAATTTTTCATAGACCTTCGATGCTGCGCAAGGAAGACGGCCTCGACAATTCGCGATTTGATTTCGGGTCGGTATGTGCTGTTCGCGGAGGACCTGAATATGCCCCGAACCAGACAAGGTGGGAGGGAAGAAGAACCGGCGCCGTTCCGTCTGCAGCCCTCGCCCATGGCGCAGACCAGGCCAACGCGCCCGATATGGGCATCCTTGTATTCGCGCTTGCACCCCGGTTTTCAAAATTACGGAAAGACCGTATGGCTGGGTGTCCCGTGCGCATGTGGAATTCTGCGTGGAATGTGCAGAGGGTCTGCTGAGCCCTGGAGCGAGCGGGATTTTGACCATGGCTTTAATTAGGCAGGGAAGTGGATATGGGTACGAGGCTACGTACGATGTGACGGCGACTAGGTGCGCTCGATTTGTG